GGGGGGGGGGGGTTGTACATTTTCAAACTGTGAAAACTTTATATCTAATCATGAAAATGATCTATGTGAAGCTAGTTGCCAACAATCTGCATGAGAATAGTACATTTACATGGGAAAATGATTATATGCACAGCTTAAAAGCAAAGTGCTGATATCGGCGTACATTTGTATTTAAAGTAAAAAGCTGAAGCAAGCTTGTACAGTATATAAAAAAGACTTGAGAGATTCACACAGATCACGTATCGGTTCTGCCCCACGTATTTTATTAATGCCGAGGAAAATTCTAAACTCCCCTAACTTTCAGTCAGTTCAGGGACTGTTGGACATTCATCTTGTTTTTATGTAAACAATAGTTGTGCATATGTTTAGCGATTGAACTGTTCAAGTGACATTAAGAGCCGATTGTAACTGATATGAAGCTTAACATAATAAATACCCAAATCCATGAAAACTAACGACCCTAAAGGTAGAGATCCTCCCTTTTTTGTTTTCAGGGTTGGAAGAATTTTCGACGCGCTTGAAAGCAGCTTTAAAACGAATGGCTCGCGCCTTTCGTGGAGGTGGTGATTATTTTCAAGATGTCCAATCAGAGGGCCGGACATCACAAGGGGGCGGGGCGGTTGAACGTTCCGCCCTGACGTTGTTCAATGAAGAAGGAGAAGGACAGCTTCTTTCCCATCCTCCTCTGAAGAAAGTCAATCATGGCGGCGAAACTCTGCAAGCTTTTTGTAGGAGGACTGAACGTGGAGACCACAGACGATGGCCTCCATAAGTACTTCGAGCAGTACGGGGCCCTCACCGACTGTGTTGTGGTTATGAACCAGCAACTCGGACGGTCTCGCTGTTTCGGCTTCATCACCTACTCGACTCCGGAGGAGGCCGACGCAGCAATGGCGGCTAAGCCACATGTCGTCGAAGGCAACAACGTGGAACTGAAAAGGGCCATAGCGCGAGAAGATGCAAACAACCCGGACATCCTCGCTAACGTCAAGAAAATCTTTGTCGGAGGCGTGAAAGACCACATCGAGGCCGATAACCTGACCGAGTACTTCTCACAGTTCGGGGTAGTGGAAAAGGCCGAAATCATCTCCGACAAGCAGACCGGCAGGAAGAGAGGCTTCGGCTTTGTCTTCTTTGAGGACACCGACTCTGCAACCAAAGCGGCGCTGACCAAATACCACACCATTAACGGGAACAAGGTGGAAGTGAAGAAAGCCCTCACTAAGCAGGAAATGTCCACAGGCGGCCGCGGAGGGAGAGGACGAGGAAGGGGGATGCAGAGCTATGGCGGCGGGAGAGGAGGTGGCGGCTACGGAGGAGGCTACAGCGGGGGCTACGGGAGCAACTATGGAGGTGGCTACGGCTACGGTGGCGGCTACAACGGCGGCGGAGGAGGCTACGGAGGTTACGGGGGATACGACGAGTACGACAACCAACTGGGGGGCGGTTACAGCAACGGTGACTTTGGGGACGGCTATGGACAGCAGCAGTCGAGTTACGGAGCAATGAAGGGGGGCAACTATTCCTACAGGAGCGGAGCGCCGTACAGAGGCGGGGGAGGAGGCGGGAGCTACGGCCGAGGCGGTGGCTTCAGCGGGGGCTACTAGCTGCTGCCCCTCATGGTTCTGATAAATATGGGGAAATTTGAAACGAACTTGAATTTACACACATACACATCACACAAACCCAGTTGGGGGGCGAGCGGTCTTTTGTTGAGTTTTATTGAAATGAGCTGTGCCCATCACCCACACAGAATGAATGAGACTGACCCGGACCCGCCTCCCCCACCCGGACCCCCCTCTTGTTCCACACATTATGGACTTTACTACTAAAAAATTGTGAATTATTGAACTGTATTTTGTTATGTTTGAGAAGGACTTGTTCTGAACCATTTGTAAAGCCGTAATCTCTGTCAGTCACTGCTTCACAACTGGCAAATTGATTATTTTTGTTTTGTTTTTATTTTTTTTTGTCTTGCAAACCTGTCAGATGTTTCTGTTATTTTTTGCATCATGAACTCAGGGTTTTAAGTGGTTTGGGGGCAGTGTCAGCCAGCGCGGGACTCGATCGCTTGAGTTTCTTGATCTTAAGTCGTGACAAAGTATTTTCAAGAAATGTCACGGTCTGTCTTCATTGTAAATGGCTTATTTTTTCCACTTTGCCGTCCCATTACAGGCTCTTTTTCTTTCAATTTTGGTTTAGATTAAAAAGATGTTTTGAAATCGATGTGTTCAGTTCACCCCTATGTTTTATTCTGCTTTTATTAAAGTTTTTAATGTTTTGAACATTCATCTAATCTCGCCCTGTTAATTCAAATTTGGTGGGTTATTCTTGCCGTTTTTTCATTATTTCACCTTTTTAATCTGAAGCTCATTGAGTTCATGAAGTCTCCACAAGGAGGGAGTGTTTCCTGAAAATATCCTATTCATTCATCGGCCATTTTAAACTGGTAGATATGGTATGGAGAGAGCAAGAGGAGTGCAACACTGCATGTCATGTATGGCCTAAAGATTTAGGAGAATGGTTAAAATGAATATCCCCCTTTTTATAACGGCTATAATAGGCATATGCAGCCTTTTGGCTCCAAAATACCTTTTTGTATGTGTAAACTGCTCACTTATTTTGTTGTAATTCCTCTTTAAAATCCTTTTTATTAACTTCCTCCATAGAACATGGTGGCAATCAGTTACTGGATTGATCACAATTTATCATTGAGCAAAAATTAGTCGGCAGAGCAAAAACGTGGCCTTAATTTGAATGATGGGATTACGAGCCGAAACTGTAAATCTCTTAAAGGCGTGTCCTCGGTTTGTGAGGACTTTGGCTGAAACCTTGTAATGTTACTACACGGTGTGAATGTTATTGTGGTGAAAGGTGTACTTTGAGAGTAAAGGGAAGGTAAGAGGTCTCACTCTGAACCTATTTTTGGGTTCTCAAACGTCCAGTTTATTTTGCCAATACTCTTAGTGGGTTATTCTGTGTGACTTATTTTAAAATGATTAAAATATCTTTTAAAATGTCCAGCAGTTTAAATAGTATGTTTGTTAAACTGCATTTCATTAAACCTTTGCTTTGGAACAACAAAACAATATATTTCTGGGTAAAATATCAAACAAACACTAAATTTGTAGGTCAAAAAGGACAATCAACATATAAATTATCTGTATAAAAACTGTACCAGATGTAGGCACTGATTTCTCCAATGTAGGACTACGGGCTTAGAGAATATCAAAACTACATCTTGTATACAATGTGCACTTAAATGATTCATTATTGTTTGACATTTCACATGACAAACATTATGACTAACAATGAGGTGCAATACTGACACTACTGAGTAAATTAGCTTTGATTCATCTTATATTTAAGTGGGGTTTGGGTTCATAAAAGATCAAAAAGTTATACATGTTTCACCTTTTGAGGAAAAATTAGGATAATTGTTTAAAAGGTATTCTTACATATTGTAAGGCTCTAGTATGCAAAAATAGCATGTGTGTTTGTTCTTGTTCTCTAAAGACCGCCCATGTCTGCGGTTTTTTAGACGGAGTGATCCTCCTTTCAAATCCTCCATCTGTGCTTGAATGCACGGACAGCGCTCTCATGCCTGCCGTGGTGTCTGACTCCGTTAGGATGGACGGTGTGTCGCTGGGGTGAGTGTGCTCAGCTGTAGGGATTATTTCGCAAAGCCGTGATTCACGCCGCTTCAACATCTGCTGGTTAACATTTTAGCTCACATGACACGTTAACTGCAAATCCAACACAGACGAGCCGAAAGCTCGCTCCCGACCACACGAACTCAAGCTAGCTGTGTTGACTAGTTAGCTTGGACTGGTTAGCCACCGTCTCTGGCAGCTCAGGTGATGCAGTTAACTTAACCAAAGTTAACACGTTGACATTAGGGCAGTGTCAACTGGTTATTGCTGTCACACAGTGCACCAAATGTGAGCTGTTTTGCTTTTGACGTGAAAGTGGTGAAATGTGTGATTGGAGGGACGGTTTCTGGCTGTTAACCGTTGCTATCGTAAGCTTACGTTAGCAACGAAGTTGAATGATAAACGATGCTAAGAACTAGCCAACCTGCCAGTGTATCTGAAACAAACGGTTTCCATTTGAGTCTAGGGTTTTTTACCCATTTCGACAAACTGTCTTAGCACAAAGTAACTTCGAACATAGGCCAATGAATTTAACTATCTGTCCTGTTGAGCAGACAGCAATGGAAAAGTGTCTTTATGCCTTTAACAGATTCTTCGTTATACACAATTTATCCCAAATGCCTTTCAGAGCTCAAGTCAAAAATACAAAAATAACTTAATGTCAAAGGCAATAAGTGAGTTAATAAATATAAATTAGCATTTAGCAAATAATTTATACGATTAGAAGAAATTGCAATGATCCTGTCACATGTTCAAATTGTGAGAAAATATAATCTGAATTAAAATGGTAAATGATGGATGGATCCAGGACACTTCCATACTTGGGGAGAATTATAAAGGATCTTATTTTCTCATTTGGTAGGGGTTAGATAAATGTAAGCAGCCTTCGTGGCTGGTTTGGTATTGAAATTATCTGGTCTAAAAGTGGACCAAATGGACAGACTCCAATCTCGTAATTATCTGATTTGAATACTAGCACAATGCTACAAGTATACACACCCTGGCTCTTTTGTGTTTTGTAATGTTACAGGATTCAGTTGTGACGGATTGAACGATGGATTCAGAAATAAACTAATCTGATCTATTAATATATTTAATAAATCTTCTTCATAAGTTTTCAGGTGGCATCCCAAACAGTGAGATGAGTTTGATTTGATTGAAATTATATTTGAATATTCTTGATGCTGAGGAGTAAGACGCCAGTGTCTTTAGTCTGTCTAACTGATTGGGTCCCCATTTATCTCCAATGATCCAGACACTGCCTCTCATGTCTCACCAGTCTGGTGGCCACACCGGCCTCGCCACGCCCAAACTGCAACACCGATTCAGAGGAGGACACGATGAATGGGGGCATGCACACTTTCAACCAGACGCACATGAGGAAAGCCTTCCAGCTGATGAACGACCTGAGGAGGTGTGTTCCTCCTGGCGTGCAGAAGCATTCAGCCCTGCATACATGTCACCCTTTTTATGAGTTAATACAGAAGTCATCCTTGCTTTGAAAATGTCAGTGCAGCATTTCATTATGTCTGCCTGTAGCTAATTAGCTTAATTTTTTTAAACAAAAAACTTCATATTCAAAAGATTCCTGCTACATCTTGACCATTTTCCCTCCCAGTTGTATGAAGGGCTGCACATGGCCGACATGTTGAGACATTTTCCTGTTTTTTTTAGCTGCTTCAAATCCTTCGATGGCCAGCATCTAATTAAAAGGACCTTTGGGTCTTTGCTGTTTTACTGCAATTTGCAGCCATACGATCCACACTTGACTTGAGGGATATGTGTAATCTCTGGCCTCTATTTGCATGTCGTATTTTTCTATATCTACAAAAACTTTAATTAAAAAACTACGGTAGTTTTGTTTTTCTCTTGGGAAAATCGCCCAAATACTTAGCAGAGCCTAAACATCAAGCCAGCTGAACCTAGTGAATGTCCCACCAATAACACGGCCTTCTTCTATCTTCTGCTCACCACCCTCCAGTAAGAAAATGCTATGTGACGTCCAGCTGGTAGCGGGCAGCGTGGAGGTGCCAGCTCACAGGGTGGTGTTGGCGTCCTGTAGCCCGTACTTCTGCGCCATGTTCACAGGTACACGCACAGGGGGTGCCTATCGAATGGGATCCGATGTGTGTGTGTGTGTGTAGCTTAATACTTAACTGGGTGTGTCTGTTTGCAGGTGACATGAGTGAGAGCAAAGCCCATCAGGTGGAGATCAGAGAAGTGGACGGTCAGACTCTGAGGAAACTGGTGGACTACATCTACACAGCTGAGATAGAGGTCACAGAAGACAACGTCCAGGTGAGACTGTGTCTGAGTGTCGGTTTTTATATTATTATTCTGAAAGAGGGCGTCCGAGAACCACAGTTTCCTTCTTTAAACTGGTCGTGTTTTATCAGGGAATCACTTAAAAAATCACTTAAAACGCCTCCTTTTGTGGTTTCCTTTCATATGGTGCTTTGGGCTCTTCCTGTCCCTTGTTGGAGGAATAACACTGAAGAATTAAACATGTGGCTGCCGGGGAGCAACTTTTCAAAACCCTCGCTCTGTTCATATTCTCACATTCCCACTTATTTACGCTTTAAGTAATTGAGTCAAAGCAGCTGCTCCCGACAGAAATGCCACATTAGTCAGAACTTCCTTATTGTTGAGAGGGAAGCTTGAAATGGCTGCCTTGACCTTTGTCTTTTGTGTGGACCTTTTTTTTTTGTGGTTGTTTTTGTTCAGTTTAAGCAAAACATGTCAGAGTAAGAAAATAAGCAGCGGCTTTCAAAATGTTCCCGGATTCATGTGCTGAAGTCAGCCAACAGACAGGGCCGTGGTTTCGGTTTTTATATTAGGTTTGTCAGCATACGAGGGACTTTCCAGTCAAAAGTAGTTAATTTAATAATTAAAACACTTTATATCTTCATTAAATAATCTGTGAGAGTGACTTTTTCAGTCTTTATAGCTATTAAAGAGAAAGCCCTGAGAACAGGCTTTGTACTTGGATGTAATCACTTGGCTAGTGAAGGTGCAGTTTAAGGCCTGATGGCTTCCAGTTTTGATTCCCCCCTGTCTGCAGGTCACAGGGAACTTGCTTGAGAAGCAGATGTTTATTTGTAAGGGCTGCTATTGGAGGATTGAGGCCTTCTTTATCTGGTGGCGTTCACTTTTGCGATGCGTGGCTCTGCTCATGGCTCGGCTTTATCCAGCTGCAGCCAGGAGACTTCCTCTGATTATTAGTGCAGGAAATGTGTATGGAGAGAAACAGGAAATCCTCTCACTGTTAGCAGCCTGCCTGTCTGATTGCCACTCTCGTGATTGTGTAACTGCTGTTCATTTTGGCAAGTTGCTCATATTTAGGGACTGACTTCTAACTTTGTGTCTTTTCTCCTGTTTAAGCGGGTTGTCTGGTCTGAGGGTGTGTGTCACAGCTGCTCTGTGACAGCTTCTGAGGGGTTTATGATGCCCTTTGGAGTATGCAGAGCTTCACAGCAGCTGTGAGCAGGAAACAGACGAGCAGAGGATTAGCAAGTGGTCAGACGGAGCGTCTCACTGACCCTTTAGCCTGATGTGGATGTTGTTTCGTGCTCGTCAACAGTAGGTTGACGGCCTGTTGAACCTGACAGACACGTGATTCTAAACAAAAAAAGACTGCTTGTCAAACAGAGGATTAGTCTGACGAAACCTTAACTTCAGTACAACTCTTCAGATGTTTCAAATGCTAAACACGTGTTTGATTTTTAACAGATAAAAGGCACCAGTTCAATCTGTGTTCTTTATTTTTTAGGTTCTCCTCCCAGCAGCCAGTCTCCTTCAGCTAATGGATGTTCGTCAGGTTTGCTGCGAATTCCTGCAGTCGCAGCTCCACCCCACCAACTGCCTGGGCATCAGAGCCTTCGCTGACCTGCACACGTGCTCACAGCTTCTGAACCAGGCCCACGCGTACGCGGGTGAGTGCCCCCACGGTCACGCAGGATGAAAATGGTGGAACTTTTTTGTCCGGGTGTCTTGGGGTTCTTTGGCTGAAACGTTGGGTTTGTGCCTCTCAGAGCAACATTTCACAGAGGTGGTGCAGGGCGAGGAGTACCTGGGCCTTTCTCTGCAGCAAGTGTGCAGCCTCATCTCAAGTGACAAACTCACCGTCTCCACTGAGGAAAAGGTCAGACAGCACACACAGGCCATCTTCATTTTAATGACGACAGATTGAATGTTAGCCTTTTACTCAAAACATATACAACAAACACAAAATTAGTCATCCTGGAGACAAGAATAGGGGATTTTAGTTTTTCTGTGACTAGCTCACACACACACACTCACTCTGTGGATGCTCAGGAAAAAAGATAAAATATTTCCTTCCATTGCAGTTCCACTGAGCATCTGTCTAGAGGCTGTCTGCATCACACAGGAGGCTGTGTGATGCAGGGATTGCACTGCGGAAATCGCTGTTATCTTGTCAAGATCAGGAACGGCAGGCGATGCTCCTTATTGTGATGAGTGGAATGAGAAAGTGGGTGGAAAGCAGCACCCAGGTCAGCAGAACAGACGAGCTGCACGAGTGTGGCCTGTAGCCCAGCAGCAGCAAACACTCACCCACTCACCTCTGGACAGTTTCCAGGAGGACATGTGGGAAGTCTTAGCAAGAAATGTTGAGCAAATGCGGAGTTTTAAGTGCGTGTGTATACACTGTAATATGAGGTCTCAGTTTGTTCTAAACTTACAATCCTCTGTCACAAATCTTAGAGGGCTTACTGTTTTGTTTTCGTGGAAACTAGTCTGAATAGTTAAAGAGTAGAAGGATTCTGTGGGTGTGGAACGATGATCCGTTTTCAGCCTTTCAGTGTGAACCAGTGAAGGCAGAGCAGTAGATTACAGACGGGTTTCATCAAAAAGCAGAGATCTGCGAGATGCTGATTCAGCGTTGGCATTTTAAACTAAGAGAGGGCCTCGTCTGAAGCTGAGGCGTTGGAGGTGTTTAGAGCCACGCACACACACACCGGTCCGCATCTTTGTTTCTTTCCTTCGAGTGTTCTTCACTTCGGCCTCCCTCTGCTCATCATCCATCTCCTAGGTGTTTGAGGCAATGATAACCTGGATCAAACACGATGAACCAGCGCGTCTGGAGTTCATGCCCAAACTTATGGAGCACGTCAGACTTCCTCTTCTGTCCAGGGACTACCTGGTTCAGGTGATGTACGAGTTCATATGTGCTTCAGTACAGTACACAAAGAGTCAGCAGAACCACAAAACTAGCACAGTTAACAATAATGCCAAAAAATACACAAACTTCTGAGGTTCATCAGGATTTTTCCTCTTATTTGATTCTTTTTTTTAAAATGAAAACAAGATTCTCTGTTTTAGAAATGAAACAATTTTAGGTCTGATTTTCCTTAAGTATGCCTGTGCATAAACTCCTAATCCTCACTGGAATCCTCACAGCTCCTCGTTTGTTTTAATCCCATTCACTTTGACAGATCGTGGAAGAGGAGGCTTTGATAAAGAACAACAACACCTGCAAAGACTTTCTCATAGAAGCAATGAAGTATCACCTGCTGCCCGCTGACCAGCGGCACCTCATCAAGACGGACCGGACACGGCCTCGGACTCCAGTCAGCATCCCCAAGGTCCGAAAAACCGCCTGGACGGGACACAGCCCGTCCCAGGATGCACGATGTCCACCTGCCCTCTCCGCCGCACGTTTCTCACCTCTGTGTGTCCATCCGCAGGTGATGATCGTGGTGGGCGGGCAGGCCCCCAAAGCCATCCGCAGCGTGGAGTGTTACGACTTCCAGGAGGACCGCTGGTACCAGGTGGCGGACCTGCCGTCCAGGCGCTGCCGGGCAGGTGGGTGAGAGCCGGGGGCCCCTGTCCTGGAGCGGGGCCGCGCCCCAAAGCCGGCCCCGCCCTCAAACCCGGTGCCCCTCGCCCCCCCAGGCGTGGTGTCGGTGGCGGGCCGGGTGTACGCCGTGGGAGGCTTCAACAGCTCGCTGCGGGAGCGCACGGTGGACGTGTACGACGGGGGCCGGGACCAGTGGAGCGCCGTGGCCAGCATGCAGGAGAGACGCAGCACCCTGGGAGCCGCCGTGCTGGGAGACGTGCTGTACGCGGTGGGCGGCTTCAACGGGAGCATAGGTACTCCTCCAACTATCCACCAGCAACTGTTACATCCACACTGTTTTTTTTTTTCTTAAAGTTTTGTTTGTTTTTTTTTTGAAAAATAAAAGCTAATTTTTTTTTGTTTTCTTTGTTTGTCACAAATGTGAGCGAGGGTCTGAAGGATAACTGCACTTTGCTTTTTAGCCTAGTAACAAGGCTATGTTTTTATTTTTTTGGTTTTGTTTTTAGCCATATGTGGCTCACACCTTTTCAGTTCTCAGAGCAGTTTTTCTCATCACACTTTCTGCTCACGCTTTCCCAGCTAACCCGTTTGGAAAGGTGCATTTGCACACAGTAGCAAAAGCCTGTAAAATGCTCTGTTTTATTTTGGTTCTGGTGGTTCCGTTCCAGGTCTGGCGACGGTGGAGGTGTACAACCATAAAACCAACGAGTGGCTGTACGTGGCCTCCATGAACACGCGCCGGAGCAGCGTGGGAGTCGGGGTGGTCGACGGTGGGAGGAACCCGGCTGACGTTTTCCTGCGCGTTCGGGCTGAGTGAGAGCGGGACTTGTGTAAACGGTGGTGTGTGTGTGTGTGTGTGTGTGTGTGCAGGTAAGCTGTACGCGGTGGGCGGCTACGACGGAGCGTCACGGCAGTGTCTCAGCACCGTGGAAGAATACGACCCGGCCTCCGATCAGTGGGGCTACGTCGCCGACATGAGCACCAGGAGGAGCGGAGCAGGTACACACACACACACACACACCAACACACACACTAACCAAAACGGGCGTACAGCGTTTGCTGGGGATCCTGTGGAAAGGCTTGACATTGTAAATAACTCTTTGGGTTTTTTTTTTTCTTTTTTTCTGCACCAGGAAGCTTCTGTGTATATTTTGATGTGAGCTAACAGTTCCCCCAGTGGACAAATTATGCAATAGTTCCATAAGAAAACCTCACACGTGTGTGAACTTGCATGCCATAAAGTAACCTACAAAATCCCATTGTGATGATTCAGCATTTTAGAAAAAACACAAGTGTTCTTTGTACAAGAGCCAGAAAGGGAAAAACCAAAAGAAGGCCCTAAAGACTGAGGTGGTGTGTGCGTCTCAGGCGTGGGCGTGCTGGGGGGCCTGCTGTATGCCGCCGGAGGACACGACGGCCCCCTGGTGAGGAAGAGCGTGGAGGTGTACGACCCCCAGAGCAACAGCTGGAGGCTGGTGTGCGACATGAACATGTGTCGGCGAAACGCAGGTCAGGGCTCAGCCGAGCTTTCCTCCCCGGAGGTTGTGGGGATGCAGTAATGGTGCGTCCCTGTTTCTGCTGCGTGTAAACGTCCTGCTGTCTGACCCCTCCAGGCGTCTGCGCCATCAACGGCCTGCTGTACGTGATCGGAGGGGACGACGGCTCCTGCAACCTCTCCTCGGTGGAGTTCTACAACCCGGCCACAGACAAGTGGAGCCTCATTCCCACCAACATGAGCAACGGGCGCAGCTACGCCGGTCAGTCCCGGCTCATCAGGCGGGGGTTCCGGGTCACGAGGAGGAATCAGAAATCTGACCGTCTGCTTTTCTCTGTCTACCCTGATCTCCGCAGGCGTAGCAGTGATCGACAAGCCCTTATGACCCGAGGCCCGGGCCGGTGACGGCTCCACTCCAGCAGCCAAACGGACATCTGAAACGGCCCAGAACAGACGGCCCGGGGCCCCCAGTCCTCCGCCAGCGGTCCCAGATTAATCCGGTTTTGATCTGTGCCCAAATGCTCGACTCTGCTGCCGTCTCCTCTCAGCTCTGCCTCTCCGGAGGAGCCTGCGCTGCATAACAAGCAGCAGCCAGAGGGGCGTGGGTCTCAAAGAACCTCTTTTAGGATTTTTCAAATGCCAAGCAACACAACGGGCGGCTGTATCAGCGGCCCCGACGTGGCCCAGAGGTGGACGGCGGGCCGGGTCCCCGCCAGGACGGAGCGCCCGGAGGGGGGGGGCCCTGGTGCACGGCGGTGTGGTAACGCTTCTGTCTGTCTCAGCAACAGAACACTTTAAAACACACCAGCCAACAGGAACTCCGAACTAACCCCACAGACGCGCGGTCTCAGGACGCAGCGATCAGCAGCTTTTAGAAACCTGGAGACCGCAGTCCGCTTTTAAGAAACACAAAACCAGACTGGACAAAACCAGATTCTCTGCTAGAGTTTAGGGGGGGAAGAATTATGCTGTTTGACTTCTGTTCCGACTGCCTGCAGCTCCAGAATGTGGGATGAGATCCTCAGTTGGAACTAGAGTTAATATAAAGAATGTACAAATTTGTATGCAAATGAAGTATTTAATGTTAATTTTTTTTTTTTTTTAAGATTGTTTTCAAATGAGTTGAGGACCACTGCAGACCACAGGTGGGACTCTTCTGTCGTGGAAACACTACTGATGCTCTGATGTTTTTGCACTGACCGCTGCAGACCAGCAGGAGTCACTGATTGGCCGCTCATCTGCCTCCATCACTGACCAAACCCACCCTCAAAAGGCCAGCCGTTTACCAGCAATTGTAAAAAGAAATGTGCCAGCTGAGTCCCAGCGTGACTGGAGAGGACTTTTTTTTTATGGCCGAGCACCTAAAGCCAGACGTGTGTGTGTGTGTGTGTGTGTGTGTGTGTGTGTGTGTGTGTGTGTG